GATCAATGTTATTGTTACCCAGTCCCACCAGCAGTCATCTGTGAAGAAATGTGGAGCAGGATAGTGGGACCTGTCTCTGACCCCTGTTGCTCTTGTGCTAGAAGGAAGCGATCCCCAGGCCGCTCAGGCCACAAAGGCCATCCTCCTCCTAACTCTGACTTGTATCTTTACTCCTTAACTTAACTTCACTGCGTGTTCAGTAGTCTCTTGGCTTTCTCTTGTAAAACTTTGGGGAACAGACCTATATCAGAAGATAGGAGTCTGGGAAGCACGGAGAGGTTTAGGGCAATCGGGTGCGGGTACAACATGCCTGAGGTCTCCCTGCAAGAGCCTTCACTGCCCCTGAAATCCCCTCTTATGCACGAAAATACATCCATGACTCACATCGAGCTCTGGCAGAAGTAAAAGGGCCCTAGGAAATGAATCTCTCATGCAGGAATAAACACTAACCAGATGCACTCTCAGTACACAAAGGTGAAGGAAATCAGTTAAACAGGGGATCTGTGCATGATCACAGCAGGAAGAGCACGTGCCAGGGAGATCACTGTGGAAGCTTGGGGCATGAGCGTGATGGCTGACACCGATTGTCAGAAAACAAACCACCTGAGCGCAGGTTTCTCTGACAGCAAGGTGCCGCAGTTTTGCAGCCGAGGGGCCAAATCTCTGCTACAATGCACTGATGTTGCACATGTGATGAGTCTTTTCTCCCTCTGTTACTTTTGATTTGATTAGGGCTTTTATTTCCAGGCATTTCTGTGTTCCGCCTTCTACCCAGAGATTGTTAGCGGGAGTAAAGAAATCCACAGGGGAACCACTGTACCCCAGCCACTGGATGACGAGCATGGGGTGGACGAGTGGTTGGATTAGTTCTCTTACTAGCATTGCTTCTCGGCCTCTTGCGGGCTCAGATCAAGTGATATGAGCCACACAGCGCCCTTTCCTTGGGCTGCTTATGGACATGAGTAGCTTTTGGATGCAAGTTGCCTCCGGACATATAGCAGAGCACAAAGCCAGTCTTGGAGAGGGCTAGAGATCAGAAGCGTGTGACCAGTCAGAGATCCTCTCAATGATTCAATCAATGGTTCGGGAAGGTGTTTCAGTTCTGTGATTCATTTCCTTTTCCAAAGATCTGGTGGGCAGCCCACTGGGAGCTCTTTGTGCTTGGCTCCCGTGCTCCCCGGAGGGTGGCATTGCACCCCACGTGTTTCTGAGTTGTTTTTCACGGAGGCTAGTGTAGGCAATTGAGTGTGCACTGCTGTCAAAAACAGCCAAGGGCGCATGAGGTCTCTGAGAAGGGTTGGTTTTGGGACCGATGTCTTGGTGCTGATTTAGTTCTCCACCTCACTGACATGCCCTGTGGAGTGCGTTTTCAGTTGGCTCTGTGTTGTCTGAGTGATAATACTGTTCTCCACCTCACTGACATGCCCCAGGGAGTGTGTTTTCTGGAGCATATTGCCTCTGTTTTTCTACCAAAGCAACTTGAGGACTCTGACACTGATGCTAACTCTTCATGGAAACAGGAGCAGAGCATTTTGGGAGGCCTCAGTCAAGCGTGATGATTGATTGTTGAGTTACAGTGTGAAAAACCTACTGTTTGGGTCCAAGCCACAGTGCTGGTCTCCTGATCCCAGGTCCAGAGGAGGTCAGGCCTCACCATCGCTTCCAGGTCGAGAGCTATGAACCCAGCACGCTGCCGATATCATGAATGTGTGTTGCAGAATGGGCCGTGCATGTGTTAATGCTGTGGCTCCTGTTCTTCCCCAGCCTGGGGCAGATTAGGATAAATGACACTTTATGCAACCTGCCCTGGGAGCAGCGGGAACTTGAAGAAGAACCATGCCCTGAAATCCCTGGTGCAGGAGCTTTCCTGTGCCGAGGCGTAGGTAAATAAATCCTGTTCTTGATGCCTAGACGTGGGCAAAGTGTCCCAACAAGGAACAATTGGGCGGAGGGTGTAATTTAGAAGCAGTGCTGACTGGTGGATACAGCGCAGGGTTGGAGCAGCAGCCCTGTGCTTTCCAATTGCCGGCACTCCCTGTCTTTAGTAACAGGCTGTATGTGCACACAGCAGGATCTTGTCTCCCGCAGCCCCGTACTCCTGCGAGCAGTGCAGGTGCAGTCAGTCTGTTTGTGTGAACAAGCACGGCTCGGGCATGTTTCAAAGTCAGCTCTTTTATGCCTTCCTTTGTCAGATAACAAGTATCGTTTTCCCCATTTCCCTTTACCAGGGAGACCAAGGGCCTGGGACTTGCCTGAAGGTCATAAGTCGAGTCCCTTCCCAAAGGGGGCTACAGGAGGGCCCAGATCACTGATCCCGAGGGCACAGGCTTGTCCGCTAGGCCCACTTGCCCCCTGCCTCATTTTCTCCTCTGTAAACAGGAGCGATAATCCTTGCCCGTGGCTCTGGAGGACTGATTACTGGGTAACGTTGTTCAGCATTTGAACAATGGAAAGTGGCACCTAAGTTTCTGCAGCCTCACCAGGTGTCCCTGCAGCAGGCAGAAATGCAGAACAGATTGCCTTCCGGCCACCCCCTGCAGTCAGAGCTCACCCCCGGCTCACTGTTGGCAAGTGCGACTCTGCAAGCCAAACTGCCTTTTCCACATGCTCCAATGTGACAAGGGGCCCAGGCTCCCCAAACAATGTGAAGTGGATAAATTAAAGTCACACATGCGGGTGCTGCCAAGTGCCTCACACTGCACACCTTTCACAGAAAACTGCAGCATCCACTTTACCTGGCTCGGGTGCTTGCTTCTATGAATATTCTCTCTCTCTCTCTCTCTGTTACCTTTGAAGGATGTCTCTGAAGCCCATTGCAAGTGGTTGAAATGAAACAGAGCCCTTCCCTCACCTGGCAGTTTCTCCAGGGTTTATTTGCAAAGAACACATTGTGGGTTTTAGGGCCAAGCCAGCAGGCCTGTGCAGAAATGAAGCTTGTACTAAAAATGGATGGTGATTTGGTGAATTAGCTTTTGCATTGCTAGCGAGCGCTGCTGTTCTGCAGAAATGGAGGGGGGGGTGTGCGTGCGTGTGTGTGTGTGTGTGCGTGCGTGTGTGTATGCAGCAGTGGATAAGCCTCAGTTGCTTCCTATTACAGCCTCATACTTCTGGGCTGGTTCTTCAGCCAGATAACTGGGAATAAACACTGAAGACTGCTCTGAAACCCATCAAAATATTTTCTCTTTAATCTCACTTTCTGCTGATTCAATATACATGCCAGATTGGTCCTGGTTTGCCTGTCTCCCTGCCTGTCTCTTTCTCGCTCTCTTTCTGTCTTTGGTACTAAGATCTCTGTGCTAACTAATGCTTCTCTTTTATTTTGTCCTTACAGAAAAGCCAGAGTTGGTATAATGTAAGTACTCCCGTTTCTCTTGTCCCTTGGTGCATGTGGGGGCGGGGGAGGTGAGGGTGCAGAGGGGCTTTGCAGTAGCACTGGGGCATGTGGAGCATCTCCAAAACAGAGGGGGGACTGGCTCCAGGCTGACAAAGCCGGACAGGCCTCCCCCCGGGGGAGAGAGCGCAGATTGGGGCAGGGCCAAGGATGCTGCGTCCTCTCAATCACGCCTGCT